GCCGAAGCGTTGCCGAAAGACGTCCTACCATTTGCATGACTACTCCTTCCACGGCTCGTTCAAGTTTGCGGCGAGTCTCCTGGATTGGCGACATGATCTCCAGTCTGGGAGGCGCTCCATCAATGTTGCCTTTCCTTGCCTCGAGATCTGCTAGCTGGATTCCCGGAAAGCTAGTTGATCCCCCACACCAATGAAACGTCACACAGCGACCAAGATTTCTCAGGCTAAGACAGATATCAATGCATTCTCGACTTATCTCATTCATTTTGTTTCTCAATAGCGCACGTAAAGCTTCTTTTGAGTCGCTCACAATATGCAAAGTCCGATACGGCGAGCTCTGAGCTTTCACAGTTCGACGGAAATAACGTAGTGCAAGGCAGATCCCTGCTTGTTCACTCACTGTTGTCTCACTCATTTTTGTAGGCTCTACTACAATCAACTATTTGTTGAACTGAGAACGGAACCACTTGAGAAATGCCGGTCTGTATCTTAAAACGGCTCTCCAAAACGACTGAAGAGGAGCCGACGGTTGTGATGATGTATGGAAAGCCATCGGAGGCTTACCTGTAGCGCCGATGGCATAACAAGCGCCACATTTGTTCAGCCGAGTCGATTGATCCCTGACTGGAGCCAAAGCACCAGCGGCTTCCCAGTCAACCGACGGGGGAGGAGCTGCTATTTCATCCTGTGGGTCTGAGGAAATCTTTCGACTTCACTGGAACAAGAGCAACGTGATAGTACAAGTCGCATTGACTGAGCGCAGATTTTCTTTAAACTGCGGATCTGTAGCGCACTGGAACGCTTTATCGAATACTTCGGATGGTACATCGGCATATTCATTGAGGCCGACCTCGTGAGTTATATCACCTGAATGATAGACATGGAAGGACAGAAGCTTTCATCGCTCACCGTTGGCTCTCAATTCCTCTATCTCCCTCATGTTTCCTGCAAAAGCAGCCTTTGCAACCTGGTACTGCTCATCCGTCTCATACTTCTTATTGTATCTTCAAGAATTGTGATAGGCGATGGGAGCGACAGATGGCATCTAGTAGAAGCTGAAGGGAATGGATCATCTCGCCTTGTCATGAAGTCGTGGAATGCCTGGTCGATATTCTTGAGTTGGTCATGACGATCCGATTCTCCAGCGATAACTTGAACCATAAGAATAAAGTGCAGAATCCCGGCGGTGAACCACATGATAGGGATCTGCTGATCGAATGGAAGCAAGAGGATTCTTCCCGAAGTACGGGGGAATGTATCTCGCTTACGAATTTCACTTTCCGTAACGCTTTCCGTCACGGAAATTCCGTGACGCCCCTGCGTGCGTTCCTCACAGGGGCACATGCGTGTTGCTATTAGGTTCAGCTGTTCCAGTTAATGTTCTGATCAATTTAAATACTTCTTCTGGTTACACGATTTCACTGGCTGCTTTTGAGAGACTACGTGCAGTAACTACACACGCACAAAGCCGTTTCGCGATCGTTCCAACTTACCTATTACTCCCTTGGCTTCTCGTCACAGTCGCCCCCCATCGTGAACCGCCTTCACGAGTAATAATACCTAGCCAGTATGTGTGTTAGTTGCAGGTTGGGGATTCTCAGATTCGTCAAGGATTGGGGAAACTCAACAAACTTGAGCGAAGTGGCTACGGTGATCCAATTTCAGTACAACTTACTGATCACGAGGATCAATGCACAGTTGGATATGTGTACGCATGAACATGATTGGAAACAACAGTGACGCAGCGTCAGTGGCGCTGTCAGCGTCACTGACACTGGATTGGCGTCACGACGAGCGCGAGATGAGCACAAGATGAAACCCTTAGGCCAGAGATCAACTATCCACTAACAGTTTATCAGTCGTAACGTCATACAACAGGAAAGATCGATGGTTCTATAATGCAGTGCGTTAGGAATCATACACATTCAAATCGAATGATTCAATTCAAGAGTAGAGCTTGTGTTATACGGGAGTAATGCTCAATTAAGTTTCAGCCGTGACATAATTGGTTAGACCGTTCGGCTATACCTCGATTCGAAAGGTCCCCGGTTCAGAACTCGCTCAGCTCTCCCCCATAATTCCTCACAGAAGGATCCGCTATACTGGTTGCAACACATGGCCGCGAGACGGAAGTAAAATTCCGAAGGTCCCAACGTCGGAATACCAACAGTCTGACGGATCCTACGACTGAGATGACTCCTTGGAGTAGAATGAGGGTGCTGACAGTGGGCTGAAGGGAACTTATATTGGATTCTATTGCGGGATCGGGTGTTTTCCTGCGTGCACAATGCGAAGATGCGCATTTTCTGACGAAGTCTGATGTTGCGACAAATCGGAGTGGCGTGTTTACGTGTTAATGATATGTGTTTTACACTGGTCTTTTCACCTCAGTCGGTGTTTATCACGATTTACTCTACGTGGTTTTAACGAAAACGCGTTTTCACGGTACATAGTACATCTTCTACAGCGTAAATTGCTACTGCTACTGCTAACTGAGATAAGAAGCTGCTCCCATATGCTTCTCATGTCTCCGGGTGTCAGCGTGGGATTGCGGTGCAGTTCTTCGGCAGCGATGTCCACCAATGTTGGAGGAACTGTCGTCGACCGACACTTGTAAGTCTTCCACGGATAATCGTGTCCACGCCACTCGCTTGCAGACCTACCGCAAGCCTTATGACCGTAGAAGAAGGCTTTGTGATTTTGCTTGAGGCCACTCTGGACGACTAAGATGTGGTTCACAGGACAGAGATCATCGGGCCAACCCCGCCAGGTAGCTTGACGCCGGCTTGCGCGGGCAGCTTCGCGGATAGGATCAGCGTTAGAGTGGCGTCTACGGTGCAGTTCCTGGCGTCCACGATGCTCCTTGCTACTCTTCACTCGATATAAGGAGGGCTTATCCACCAGATAAGTTGCCAGCACATCATCAATATCTCCACGTATGGTACAGAAGGCTTCTGGCTCCCATCGCTCGTTCTCAGGAGAGGTGTAACCAGCAGAAGCAGGATCGCCGCTTGGAGTATCATCTCCGTCGGACTCGGTGGTGGTATCGCTGGGGCAATCATCGTCCAATAGGCTCTCTTCTGAAGAATCTGAACCTGCACTGCCATTTACTGAAGGAAGGTCGTCAGCGCCATCCGGATGCTCTTCCGTGAGTACCTAGAATGATATAGTTTTAACACTGCCGGCATAGCCTTACGTCTGTAGATAATACCGATGAAGTAGGTTCGGGAGAAAGTTCCTCTCCGTCGTGCGCCTCTGTATGAGAGAGCAGTGGACGCTCGATGTCGATGTGAGTGGATGGAGGCGCATGTCGGTTGGTCACAGAAACATCGCTCGCAGCACGTTCAGGGCCTTGTTGGTAGGCGTCGGCCTGCCCATGCACTCGCATGCGGCGGATGTGGTCCACAGATTCAGATGGGTTCATTTTCATTATTCCACGGAATCCGGAAGGATTGGTCTTCGACATCTCAATGAATCTGTCTCCTGAACCAAGAGTACGGCCAAGCAGACCAGTCTGCACTGCATTGACAACAATATTAATTAGTTCATTACATACCCGCTCAGTAACACGAGCTTCATAGCCGTCTAGCATCTTCTTGACATCGGCGGCACTCACCTCGTACACTGCAGAGGAGGTAGGAGTTTGTCCAGATCCTGCATTCCCGCTAGAAGAACCTTCCTGGATCGGACTCGGTGAAGAAGGCCGACTTCAGCATGATGAATTTCATCGATGAAACCTGTCGATCGTGCAGAACCTTCAGTCTGTCATGCTCGCGACAGAACTCATCGAACTTCTTAGCCGATGGAGAGAACACGAGCTTTTTAGTGAGCCGCTCTGTGCCTACCCATTTAGTGTATACTTGATTTGAGCTTCCAATACGCGTGAACATCGTATATAGAACGCCAAAAAGCCAAGGCTCACGCAGCCTGCGTTCAATATCGATGTGCACTGTGTGTGGGCTCTTATATTCGTCATCCTTCGACAGATCAATAACAATGTACTTGAGCGTCGATCCCAGCAGTTTATGGCATGTCAGAGCTGCCCCTAACTCCACAGGCAAGTTTCGCCTTTGTACAGGAGGGAGCCGACG